TTTCCAAAATTTGGTTGATGTTGTTTTGTTGTTGTAGAGTGTAAATTAAATTTGGAACCCCATATAGGGTCTCAAATTATAATAACAATCTAAATCGATTAAGCTGTAATGTCTGTCAAAATTACGATAGGGTTTTGAAACTCTATACACCAAATACCCAAAGTTGGGCCGATTGGCACAACATTTCATATTGTAAATATTTGTGCAGATGCTGGCATACCTTCCATATTTATTTTCGACCGACTTCATATTAATTGGGCTCCAAATAATTAACGGCTGTCCGATTGAGGTTGCTTTAAATCGATTTACATAAATTTGTCTCATTGTAAATAAGGATCACATTTATATAAGGATTACATACTTTAGTTCATCCAATTTCATGTCAATGTTCTTTCAAACAGGAGATGTCTGTTAGAATGCACCTGTTGAATATACCCAAAGTGGTGAAGGGTATCGAGGCAAAAATAATGGAGATAAACCCATGGTTCCTTTTGAGAATATGCATAGAATCACTTTCTGAGTCGATTTATGCATGTAAACAAAGCGCAGGTCGCATTTATGATCCGAATTTGATGAAATTTGGCACCGCTCATTTGTCGTCCTTGGGCCAAACCCTTTTGAAATTGGGAAAAATCGGTTCAGATTTAGATATAGCTCCCGTATATATCTTCGTTCGATTTAAGGTAAATGATGTACCAAAGTAACTATATATCTTTCGATTTGGAGGAAATTTGGCATAGGGTACTGAATTAAGTCTAAAATGATGTGTGCAAAGTTTCGTGAAAATCGGTTCAGATTTAGATATAGCTCCCATATATATCTTCGTCCGATTTAAGGGAAACCCCCCCCCCCCCATTCGCGATTTTAATTTTGCAAGATTTTCAATGGGCTGGTAAATGAATACAAATGCATGTTAAGGTTTGTAACTTTGCATATATATAATTGAAGATTTAAAAGAGAATAAAAAGAATTTACAAAAAATTTTTGTTATTGTTTTGTTGTTTTTTTTTTTTTTGTAATTTAAAAAAAGTCTTTATTTTTTATGGCGGGCATGATAACTCCTCACTGGAACATCGGAATCCGAAAATTCCAACGGTGTTAGAAAGAGTACATGTCTGGCTCTCGTATGAACTAGGATTATTGACTTCGCTCTAAAATGAACAAAATGGTGGACCTTTGAAAAAATATTTTTGGAAAATCGCCGATTTTTTACAAAAAAACAAGTTAAAAAATAAGGAAGATCTTAACCGATTGGCTTTATCCTAGTTCATACGAGAGCTATACACTCCCAGAGAAACGTTGCAAAATTTGGAACCGATTGGATTATTAGTTTTTGAGATATCGTGCCCGCCATTCGCAAAAGAGAAAAACGCGTTTAAAGTTTGAGAAGCCCTTCTGCCGTCACTTGATGCTGACAAAATAAATCGGCTATATCTTCAAGAGTTCTTGTGATTTTCACTTGAAATTTTGTAGGGACATTCTTTAATCAGTGTAGATTCGAATTATAAAAAACAAAAATTTTGACCCCGAGAATGGGGGGGTCCCCTTAAGGTAAATGGTGTACCAAAGTCCATATATATCTTTCGATTTGCTCTACAATGATGTGTGGAGAGTTTCTTGCAAATCGGTTAAGATTTAGATAAAGCTCCAATATATATATATATACATCTTTGCCCGATTTTAGGTAAATGGTGCACCAAAGTCCCTGGAATTTTTTTTTCATTTGCACGAAGTTTGGCATAGTGTACTGAATTAAGTCTAGAATAATGTGTGCAAAATTTCGTGAAAATCGGTTCAGATTTAGAATTGGTGCACCAAAGTCTCTGAACATTATTGGATTTGCACGAAATTTGTCGTAGCGTACTGAATTAAGTCTATTTGTTGAGTGATGAATTAATAATATTTCATCAACGATATCTAAGGTAGGTGTCAATACCGCACCACCGCAATAACCATTTCTATCGCTAAAAGGTTTACTTGATTCAATTTAGAAACAAAAACCCTTAAACGTGATTATCATTTTATACAAAGGCATCTGTCTGTAAAATGCGGAAGATTATATGATCATGGGTTACTTTTGAGAATATAATTAGAATTATTGTTTAAGTCGTTTGTCGTCTGAGCTAAAAACCTTGATAAATCCCGTCGCTAAAAATACCTTAATTCGTTCTATGGCGATTATTGGTTTTGTATATTATTTGCCAGGAACATTTTAATCCTCTGTGAAAACAAGATTGGCAAATTAAGCTAATCTCGAACTAGAACCTGTTTCTCCCTTTGTCTGTCTGTTGAAATCACTATGAAGATGGCAACATTTATGATGGGGTTTCTATATTTTCCACAAAAATTGCGACTACTCCTAGGGTATTTGGGATATAACGGGACATTTTGTGGTATAATTTGCATAAAAAATTGCGACAAAGTTAAACGCCATAATTTTTAAATTTTTTTTAATTTTTTTGAATGAATGCAAAATTGTCAGAAATAACATAAAAAAATACGGCCTTCAAACGGCTAATGAAACCGCCACAGGCTGTCCGAATGCTGCTCTGCGGTATTTTGGCCCATTCCGGGCGAAGCGCTTGCTTGAGGTGATCCACACTTTGGTATTTTTTAGTGCAAACCTTGCTTTCCAAAATACTTCAGACACAATTGTCCAACGGAGGAACCTCATTTTGTAACCAGTCTTGGGTGGCGTGTGTTGAGTCCTGTTGGAATGTCCAAGGTCTGCGACCAAAATGGTTGCAGGCCCAAAGCTTTAATATACCCTCCATAATCGGTTTGTAGAAATGTCGGTATAGGTGCACTTTTTGGTATTTTCCCTATATTTTCATTTCAAGTACCTGTCAGTATATCTATGGTGGAGAGTATCCAAAGTTCGGCCCGGCCAAACGCTTTTTCACTTGTTTTTTTGTGCTGCCCGTTTTATAAAATTGTGTGCCGTTTTAGCAAACAATATGATCGATGTAGATCCAACAACAATCAAAGGACAACAGTACAGTCCAGTTTTTTGCAATGCTGCCGATATGACATTCTTCATGTCAATTACTCAAGCCTATTTCCGGTAGGAAAAAACGTTCTAAATTTCAGATTTGGAGACTTTGAGATTTACGCCATTGTACTTGTATGTCATTGATCGGGACCTTAAAGATATTGCCGGTTATTTCACGATAACTTTTTGGAAGATAGATTTAACACCCAATCATAACAAAAAGAAATCGATACCAAAATCGAAACCAAATGTGTATATCCGGCACCATGTGAGTGGTTCAGGATATCAAATCGGACACGCTGTTCGCATGATTATGAAAATTTATTGTCAGCGAAATGTTGACCCTTTGTGAGGGGAGGTACCAGAACGAGTAAACCAATTAGTTCCATCTTCGGTCTTGATCTAGGATTAGTAAATATAGAAGATTGTACAGAATTTGGTCCAAATCGGATTTAAATGCAGATGTTTGATCTAAAAATATCAATATCAGGCATTTTCTCCTAGAACCCACACCATTATCTCGATTTTGTGTCACAGTGTAATTTAATACAAATTGTTGTTACAAATGAATTATTACAGCTGTTAAAACTTAGAAAAATATTGAATGAATAGAGTCTGAGTGTAAACAAATCAATCAACCGTCTGTAGAATTCTCACAAATTATTTGTGTTGCTAATAAAACACACAGAGCACCTTCAAGGTTATGCTTTTAGCATTTTGAATTGTCACCTTCCGCCTATCTTTAATTACCTAAATTTCAAAACAATCATCAGACCATATCCATATCCTTCAACATTCATTCGGTACAGTACGTAAGTGGCCAGACAACGGTGCGAACATGAATTTAGAAGACGCACGCAACACAAATAAACTGTATCGGCCTTCTGAGCGACTACGTCGAATTGTTAGAATAACTCGAATTTGTGGCGATATCTGCGGTGCCGATGTATTAGATCCAAATTATCGTGTCAACATCCGGACCTATCTGGTATTCCTGGTAATCAATTTCAGTATTATATTCTTTGGTTACACAATTTACAAGGGTTGGACTGATGGCGATGATGATTGGAAAATAATTCTACAGGTTCTAACAGTGGGAGGGGGAACTCTTGCACAAGTATGTTGTTAAACTGTGACTCTGGTATTTAGATTGGATTTCAAAGGCCAATTGGAATTTATTAATAGGGATACTGTAAGCTGGTCAATTCCATCGGACAACAATCGAATTTTCGTTACCTGCTGGACGAGATATATTCGGTATTCGAGGAATACGAATTAAAATCTCCTAATTACAGGGTGTTTTTGAACCAAGGCTGTCAACTGCTTACTTATTTCATGAAATTGTGTGCCATTGTAAATATTGCAATGATTTGTGGTCTGATCCTGGTAGCAATAGCAATTAGTGTAGTCTTTAACAAACATCAACTTATTGTCTACGGTAATGTCATCGGAGCAGATCCAACAACACCCAACGGATTCATTGTGACAATGATTGTTCAATCGGGATTTTTAATGGTCGGTGGTTTCGGACTTTATGCTGGTGATATGGCATTCTTCACGCCAATTTCACAAGTTGCCACAATGAAGGGAGTCCTGCGTTGCAAGTTTGAGGACATCAATGCTGCCGTGGTAGGAGAAAATCGCTCACATCATTCACAGATTTCCCATCTATTGAGTGATGTAATAATGTTTCATCAGCGATATATAAGGTCGGAATTGACACAATCAACCACAAGAATATTCGTAAAAAGATGCCATTCCTTGGCCAGTTTAAATGCACAACTCATTTCTGACAAGTGCCTAGAAAATTTGTTTTTTTTTTCTTTTCAGATTTCTTCATACTACCCAAAAGACATATTACTGGGTAATTTTGGTTCAAATTTGCACATATTCGATTGGCATAGTGTGCTCTCTCTTTTGCATACTGTTGGGAACATGGCCTGGAGGATATATATACATGATATATTGCCTTGTAATGATGTTCGTGTATTGTGGTATTGGAACAATGGTGGTTGTAACTGTAAGTATAACAAATACGACATAAATTAAAAAACAAAAGCAGGTAATAACATAGATATGTGGATGTATTCATATAAATCGCATAGTTAATTTCATTCGGTTTCATGCCGAGACTACCCTAAAGATGCTAGATCTGTCCGATCGATCTCTTTATTGTATGTAAATAAATTGACGTCCCTGCCCAACTTTGTTCTTTTCCCTATTGGGTTAAAACCATTAAACGTTATTTTTTTCATTTTTTCAGAATGAATCATTTGTTGAATCCTGCTACAATGATATTTTATGGTATAAACTGAGTTCATCTAATCAAAAATGTATACTATACATGTTAATGACGTGTCAAAATACTGGCGGATTAACAATTGGATCTGTGCTGCCTTTATCCATGAATACTGGATTGCAAATAACCAAATCAATCTATTCAATTGCAATGATGTTTCTCAATTTTGTGGAATAGATTTAAGAAGTATTTATTTGTAGCACAATGTGGTTTATTATTATTAATAACACATTTATTAATATATTTGGAAGAAAAAAAATAAAAACTAAAATCCCAAATGTATTTCACATCCACTGAAAGAAAAATGCATTTTCATGTACCGCAAGGCCATATTTCATTTTGTGTTTTAGCTGGTTGTAGATATTTTAAAGGAAACAATACCCTTTTGATGTTTTTATGCTCCCTCCATTATGATTTTATATTCTCTGTAGAAATAAAGTACGGACACAATGGCTGGGAAATTCGACTGGACCGGGTCTTGTACAGAGATATATTACCCATTGACAATTTAAATCAGCGAACATTAACACGAGGACTATGCAAAAATCTGTCTTTGAAAAATATACAACCAGTAAGAAATGATGAATATCGGACCGCAATATGGACTGAAAAGTCGTATTTAAATTTTATAATCTTGACAACCATTAAATACAATTCATACTTAACTGAATACTGAATTTGATACGCTATGCTAAAATTTCATTGCGATCTGTAAGATATGATATATATCATGCATAATTTACCTGAAATCGGATGAAAATATATATGGAACAGTATGTAATTCAAACCCGATCGGAAGTAAGCATAATGCTCATAATTCTAAGATCGATTATCTAGACATAGCTTAGATAATTGATCTTATTGATATATGGGCCATGGGCCGATATCCTTCTCAGTTAGAATGATTACAACAAAGTCTTAGAACCAAACCCAAAACGCGGAACAAATCAATTAACTAAAATATTAATAATTTTTGGAAGGGAGATTTGTTACCATATACGACTACAAAAACCCAAATGACAAAGAATTTGTTTAAAAGCGCACTCAAGAACCCCAAACCCGAAAATTGGGGGTGCCATAATCGTAACAAGTGAAAAAGCGTTAAGTTCGGCCGGGCCGAACTTTGTATACCCTCCACCATAGATATACTGACAGGTACTTGAAATGAAAATATAGGGAAAATACCAAAAAGTGTACCTATACCGACATTTCTACAAACCGATTATGTAAACCATAATACAAATTTCAGAATTGTAATTGATAATTATACCCTCAGCCTTATGGCTGATGAGGGTGTATAAACTTTGACACGGTGAAAATGAGCCTCATCGAAATATTGGTTCTAGACCCCATGTTTCTTTGGAACAAATTTTTTTTCAGAAAATTTAGATTTCATCCAAACTTTGTCCATCTTATTATTTCTTCCAAAATTTGTTCAAGTTCGAACATGGGGAATATCGGTCCACTCCTTCTGGTACCTCCCACATAGGGGTTATGGCTAAATGCGGGTTACAGTTCATATATATATATATATATATATAAGGTTAATTATCGAACCTTATGTTCCAGTTTTTTTTCGTATCTTCCGCAGATGTAATGATTACAACAGAGTCTTAGACCCAACCCAAACACGGAAAAAATCATATAACTATTTAAATATAAAAAAGGGGGCGAATGTTAGAAATTGTTTGGTAAGAAGATTTGTTACCATATACGACTACAAAATGCCAAATGGCGAATTTGATTGAAAAACGGGTTCAAGAACCCCAAAATACCGAAAATTGGGGGTACCCTTATATGGGGGCTATCCGAAACAATGGACCTATATTTATAATTTTTTGTGGAGAGATTTGGTACCTATAAAGAACTCAAAATACTAAATTACAGTCAATTCTGTGGAAAAATACGATCAAAAACCTCAATATACTGAACCTGGTCGAACCAGTTTTTTATGTTCCCTATCAATTTGTGATTAAGCCACTCATTTCACGGTCTTCGTGTCAAAGTAAAACTAGAAGCCAACAAAATGGGGACTACGCCCCTTATGTATAATTTTTAAAAATTTTACCTGCATCTACTTTTAAATGATGCTGACATTTTGAAGCTCGATTTTGAGGGTTTTTTTAATTTTACTTCTAGCTTTAATACGCAAACAGGAATTTCTAAGAATCGATTATAAGATTATGTAGTCGCGAATCTGCGTAATTTGATATGTATTTTGTGTATGTAGTATGCACAGCTTCAGAGTAATATTCATCCGAAGGTGCGAATTTTGTGCGATCAAATTTCTAAAAAACCTATTTTTCGGGCCAAATTTTTAGAAATGTCAACTGAATGATATGGGTACCCGCGATCAATAAGGTTTTTTACGTTTTTTAAGATTTATTCCTATTTATAGAACCCTAAGATTTATCGGAAGGGTCTTGATATAATCCGCAAGGCGTATACTTATACACAAAACGTGATTATTATTATATATGCCAATTTTTCGGGTAAAATAACAGAATAGTCACAAATTTTTTTCTGAAATTTCTTGTATATAAAAGAAATATCTTGTATATAAAAGAAATATGATGACATTATTTTTTCAAACCAAAAACAAATATTTTTCCTCAATATCTTGTTTTGTTGTCGCTGTGATTTACAAACCGCTACACGGACTTGTGCGATTTTGATATCATTTGATTCATCATGCTGTTTAGATTATGTAGATATTTTTAAATTAATTTTTAGGTGTGTGTATGTCATTAATATAATGAAAATATTGATGTAATCTGCTATATTTTTTTATTTTTCTCATATTTCGCGAAGATGTACAACTTTATCGCGATGATTATAATATATTCATATTGTTATTTTACGGAGGAAGATCTATATCAACGTTTTTGGTCAATATAATAAACGGCGTAATTTTAAGATTTTTTTCTTATGCCCAAAATTAAACCTCGATAACTTTTGCGCGCATCAACCAAAAATTTGATCGCGAGCGGTTTCGGAGTCAGAACATTTTTCTCTTTATGTGTACCAAAAATCATCGATGTGCCACAAAAACAAAAAAGCTGATTTTTTGAAAATGGAATATTAAAGAAAAATTGGCAATATTTCCCATATACATACATATAGAATACAAATTTTGTCATTTTTCACACAAAAGTCAGGGTCCATTTGACCCGCTAAATATTGACCGATCTTTATCAAAACAGACATGCTTATTCTTTGGCCCAATCTCCTTCTCCATGTAAACATTCAACATGTTTTGGCCATAATCGCGGCCTCTGACCAGAAAAACCGACAAAAATTAAGTATTTGGTCCATTTCATAACCTAAATATTAACCGATCTTTACAATAGGGGTCTTCATTGGGCCGAACCCATAACTGTGGCCTGTATCGTGTTTACAAATTATAATGGACAGACGGACGGACACAGATGTCTAGATCGATTCAGCTTGTCGAGATATAACGATCGGTATACCTCAAGGTGGGTCTAGGACCAATATTTCGCGGCGTTACAAACTCCTGGGGCTGCACAAAGCTAAAATACCCTGACAACATAGTTGTGTAGGGTATACAAATATCATAACTGTTTGTATCTAATGCATTTTCTTTAATTGTGAAAAAAAACAAAGAGAAGTGTTGTTACTGTTTTTTCGACCACTTTTTTTGGCACGTATTGCCCGATATCTCAGTCCTAACATGAGAAATTTTGGTTTCTAAGTGCACAGGATTTGAAGGTTTATATGCTTAACCAGACTTTCTGCATTGTCATACTTTTAACTGAATAGAAAAACAAAAAAACGTAGTCTGACATATGTCGAATTCCGTAACTTATGAATAACTTATTATTTAGGTTCGGAGGATATATCATATGAGCAATAAGTGTATATATAATGTGTCAATGAATATTTGTATATAGCAAACAATTTATGGCAATAATTGAACCGGGCTACTATAATTGTTATGCAATTTAGTTAGTTTTAATTGATGTCACTATCGATATTCTTCAACATTGGCATTGTTAAAGAATGCCATAGGTAAAGTTATTTACATTTCTCATATTCAGTCGTTTAAAATTTTATTATGTTCGGATTTGCTAGAAGTTAAAAATAGCAATATTACATTTCTGAAAAAAAAACAAAGAAGTTAGAAGGAGTTTCTTTTGATGAATATAAACTGTTCGATTAGGTTATTTTATAAAAGATAATCATATAAGTTCAAAAAATTCCCATGTCGAAAATTGATTAAAAATAAATACAATACCTATTTTGTGTTGGATGGTATAGTCCACCCTCAAGTTATATACAGGGTGAGATGAAAAAACTGCAACCAACTTCAGACTGCTGTCATTTCTAAGCCACTCGTACAATGACAGCTCATTACATTGTTAACAAGCGTACAACCGCATTTTGGTGAGAATTTAAAAAAAATATATTCGTGATGTAATACAAGCGTCATTGTGTGATTTCTTTATATTTGGCTGGAAAACCACATATGACTATCGTTAGAGCACTACAGCATTTAAATGTGAATACATCTTTTGTGCCTCGTACTATCGCTCGTTACCGTGATACTAGTACTAGCGTAGCCCAACGACAAGGAAGTGTACGAAAGAAAACAGCAACATCAGTAGAAATGGTTCGAAAAGTAAAGAAACGACTTGATCGAAACCCGCGTCTCAGTGGCCGAAAAGTGGCTCGTGAGCTGAACATATCGCAATTTTCCATTCGAGCTCGAGGTAAAGCCATTGAAATTTAAAAATGTGCAAGAACTTACACCACAAGAGAAAGAAAATAAACTCAAAAGAGCCGAAAGTGGTGAACTGCCGATTTTGGTTTTCTCCGATGAGAAAACATTCGTTGTCCAGCAGTTTGTAAACAAACAAAAAGAACGGTTTCTTGCCAAAGACGTCAGCTGAGAATGTGCACCTTCGGTTGATCCCCAGAACTCAAGCGCTGGCAATGGTGATGGTGTGGCCCGCCATAACTGCCATTCGCTGTCTCTCCGCTCGTAGTAATCGACTATGGCATCAGAATAAATGCCGAATATTATCGCGAAGATATTCTTGAGGGTGTCTTAAAGCCTTGGGCACGCAAAAATTTTGGCCACAGACTTTGCACATTCTAACAGGACTCAGCACCATCGCACTCAGCACAGCCACCCAAGAATGGTTACAAAATGAGGTTCCTCGCTTCATTTCCAGCGCACAATGGTCAGTCTCCAATCTCTACACCATTGGACTATTCTGACTATTGCAAAGCAAGGTTGGCACTAAAAATACCAAAGTGTCGATCACCTCAAGCAAGCGCTTCGCTGGGAATGGACCAAAATACCGCAGAGCAACATTCGGGCAGCATGTGACGGTTTCATTGAAGGCCATAATTCGTGCCAAAGGTGACCGATTCGAACAAATCTAAAATTATTTTAAAATTGAGAGCCTCCGGTTTTTAACTTTTGAGATAAAAGCCACAAAAGAGCGATCACTTACGTGACTTCAAATATACAAATATACTTCAAATAATTATACTTTAGACATCATTACTAATAATGGGAAAACTCTGCGAATAGTGTGAATATTTGGAACTGTTTATATTCTTCACATGAATAAGATAAGTCAATCATTATTTTTGAAATTTCAAAATTTGCGAAGAATTTTTCGCAGTCACTCACGCGACATTTTTCATTTTGCAGTTTTTATAACCTTCACCACACTGTGGTACAGGTTTTTATGTCTTTGTGCATATGTTATATGGTTCCTTTTGAGAATATGCATAGAATCACTTTCTGAGTCGATTTACGCATGTCCGTTTGCCCGTCCGTCTGTACGTCCATCCGTCCATGTATTTTTGTGAACAAAATACAGGTCGCATTTAAAATCCGATTTGGATGAAATTGGGCATAGGTCACTTATTTGGCCCAAGGACGAATCCTATTGAAATTGGGAAAAATCGGTTTAGAATTAGATGTAGCTCCCATATATAGTTTCGCCCGATTTTAGGTAAATAGCCCACTAAAGTTCCTTGAAATCTTTTGATTTGCCCGAATTTTGGCATAGCGTACTGAATTAGGTCTAAAATGATGTGTGTTAAGTTTCCCGAAAATCGGTTCAGATTTAGATATAGCTCCCATATAAAGTTTCGTCCGATTTTCTGTTCATGGTGTACAAAAGTCCTTATATTTCTTTCGATTTGCACGAAATTTGGCACAGCGTAATGAATTAGGTATAGAGTGATGTGTGTTAAGTTTCCTGAAAATCCTACCTTCTTCATCTTTTTCATTTTAGGCTACGGAAAACAACTCAAGAAACATACTATTGGGTAATATTGGTACAAATTAGCACCGGCAATCGGCATAGTTTGCTCGATGTTTTGTATATTTTTGGGAACATGGCCTGGAGGATATATCTATTTGGCATATTGTTTTGTAATGCTGTAGAGTTGGAAATATGATGAATGTAGCCGAAGTATACTTATGTACTACAGTAGAAGTATACTTATGTACTACAAATCCTGAAATAGAATCAAAGTTTTGTACTCCTTCTCTTAGGATTCTATACAAATTATTTCATATATATTTCAGAATGACGGTTTTATTAAATTCTGCTACAATGATATACTTTGGTACAGACTAAGTGCATCTGATAGAAAATCCATCATTTACATGTTGATGGTATGCCAAAATACTGGTGGATTAACAATTGGATCGGTGCTGCCATTATCCATGAATACGGGATTGAAAGTTACCAAAACTATCTATTCTATTGCAATGATGTTATTAAATATTGTGGAATAACTTTATAAGCCCTGTAGGCCTATTCTGTAACTTTTTAACAACATTCGACATTGTTTAATTTACGACAATTTCATTTGTTTGTTTCAAAAGAAACTTAAACACTATCGATTGCTGTTAAAAGTTACAGAATAGACTTACTGGTCTGTCGAATCGTATTATATATCATATATGTATAATAAAATAGCGCAATTGTAATTTCAATAAAATTCTAAATAAATCGTGTACCATTTACATGAAATCGGATGAAAATTTCAAAGTTGGATCCTATAAGGACCTATAAAGTACATATATATAAGTTAACACACCTCAATACCTCCAAACCACTGTGCTGCGACGTCTCATACGTACACGTGCCGCTAAGTCAGCACTTTCGATTCACTTGCGAAACGGAAATATGATATGTTCCCACAGTCATCGAACTCGTGCACTAGGCCTACCGTCAGCATAATGCACCTGTGGGAAATATTAAAATAAGCATAATTTGGACGTCGCTGCCAACAACGTGAGGTTTGGAGTTAAGAACTATGAAGGCGAGAAACCAGTTGGAGTTCGGGAGTAAAACGAATCGCGTTAATTTTCTCTTATCTAAAATCATCATTAATAAAGGAATTAAAATTAATAATTTTTGCATTTTAATTTTTGTATCAACTGTTGTTGATAAGTTGATTTTTTTTATTAAAACCAGGACACTAGTCCTTAACTGGCGCCCGAGCATACTGACCCTCACGAAGGTCCTTGCAAATAAAAAAAAAAACAAAAACGAAAGTCCTTATAATAAAAAGTGTGGATCAATTTAATAACAAATAAAAAAATAGTTTGAAATAAACAAGTGGAAGTGATTGAAAACAGATCCCTATGTGTAAATGAGAATATTGCAAAAAAAAAAAAAAAAAAAAAATAGGGAAAAATATTGTGGATCAATTTAATAAAATATAAAAGGAAAAGAAAAAATATTTTGAATTAAACAAATTTCTATGTGTAAAGGAAAATATTTCAAAGAAGTTAACCTTTAAAAGTGTTATCATTATAAAAAAACTGGTGAATGTAAAAAAAAGGATTATAATATCCGAATTTTATGTAATAAGAAATAAATCTCTAATAATTGAAAAAGTGGTTGTCAAAGAATATAACCAAGAGAATATAACTAAGGTTGTCAAAGAATAAGTCCAATATATAAAAAATTTTATAAATCCAGAAACAAAATCAACTATTAACATAATACTGAAAACGGGCCACATGCACTTTTGCCCGATTGTCATGTAAGTCATTTATTTTATTTTCCCTTACATTAACTATGGATGAACTGAGGTCTAATGTCACTCAAATTACTGGAGCGGTGAATGCTCTACTTGAAAAGATTAATGTATTAGAAAGGAAAGTGTCACATTTAAATGCCTTAAACGAAGCAGCGGCCTCGACTGACAACCGCCTAAATGCAGTTGACGAGGAAGTGACACAGGCTCCCACAACCCTTGATGATATTAGGGAAATTAGTCGTCTGCCTGATTGTGTGAAAGAACTACAGATATTCGACGGAAACCCAGTACAATATGTGTCATGGGTTCACTCTGTTGAAAGTATATTGTCAGATTTTTCGGTAGTAAGGGATAAACCCTTGTACCGAGCAATCCTCCAACATATAAGACAAAAGGTCAGGGGTGCAGCCGATTCTGCACTTATTTCGTACAATATTTTTGACAGCAACTGGTCAAAAATTAAAGAATGTCTGTCACTACACTATGCAGATAAAAGAGACATACGTACTCTGGAACACCAGTTGCACCGTCTCAACCAAAGAGGGATGAAGGTTGATGAGTTTTACGCTAAAGTTAATCATCAATTTTCATTAATCTTAAATAAAATAAAAACCGAGTCTTACTCGGAAGAGACAGTGAGAGTTCTTATAGAGACTTATCGCAACAGAGCATTGGATGTTTTTATTCGGGGTCTCAGTGGAGACATGTCCAGGATGTTGCTTATACAGCGTCCAAAAACTTTACTTTACAGCTTGCCTGGAGATGCAAAATGTTGATTTTCGGAATTCCTCCATTCACAACCCCTCCCCTAACAATCGAGTCTCATTACCTATTAACAGTCTGTCAAGTACTACGTCATACCAGACTAAGAATAAGCCTCCACAATTGCCACCGAAACCACACTGGCGTTCCCTAGATCATCGCCAACAAGTTTCAGCGGATCATCGTTATTTACAGAAAGGAAACCAAAATTCTATGTCATATCTTCCGGTGGAGAAAATGGAGGTGGATCCTTCTATACAAACCAGAAATGTGAATTATATGAATAGACCCAATCCAACACAACAAAGACTATATCATACTCTTTCTGAAAAGGAAGAGGAACAAGATGTAGTTGAAGAAGGTAACGCGGAATCATCAAATGAACAAAACTCTGAGGATTTTTTGGAGTCTGGCCAATAAAAATCTATACCGACCACGAACCTTTAACATGTTCATTAAGTAATCTCAACTACAACGCTAAGTAGTGGAGCCACCAATAAAAATATTTAGAAATCACATAATTCTACGACAGGGGGTGAGTTTTGAGTGTAGTGAAGTGACACATGAAGCCTACAAGAGATTTTTTATAACATTACCTACAATAAATAGTGCATCCCTAATTGATGTGCTAAAAAGAATTTTAAATCCTAATGTAATAAACGGTATTAAAATCCCGGAATCTTCGATTCCCTCATTATAGGATGTATATACTAATCATTTTTATAGATACAGGATCCGTATAACACAACGAATGGTTGAGGATGTTACGTTAACCGATAGAATTTTCAACATCATAGAACAGGAACATAAACGTGCTCATCGCAACGCACGTGAGAACAGGGAGCAAATTCTTGAGAAATTTTATTTTCCCGCTATGTCAAGGCAAATTTGAGAATACATTCAACAATGTGAAACGTGTAAAGTTAGCAAGTATGACAGACATCCTTCAAAACCACATATGCAACCCACTCCAATCCCGAATTATCCCTGCGAAATCCTTCACATTGATATTTTTGATATAGAAAAACAGAAATTTCTAAGTTGTATAGACAAATTTACTAAATTTGCAAAATTATTTCCAATTAAAAATAGGTCATCTCCACATCTAAAAATGATGTTAACTATTGCTCTCCATTATTTTACGGTTCCGCGTGCTTTAGTTATGGACAACGAGCGTGGTTTTTTGACCCCCCTTGTTATAAACTACATTCGGTCCTTAGGTATTGAAATATATCAAACGCCGACGCAACGTAGTGAGGTAAACGGACAGGTTGAGAGGCTGCATTCCACTTTGATTGAAATTTATCGTTGTCTTTGTAAAGAGCTCCCTAGACTGACCCCTGAGGAACGCGTCGCTATAACCGTGGATAGGTATAACAACACCATACATTCAGTTACGAAGCGAAAACCTGCTGATATTTTCCTTAATAGAACTGCCAGAATAAATTATCAAGAGTTGTCAAACTTTAGGGAACGCACATACGACGATATTAAGGCTCTTCTACTACATGAACAAGAAACTAGAAATGCTAGAAACAACAAAACTCGCTCGCCCCCACATGATTTCACTATTGGTGACGAAATGTTTATATCAAACAAACAAATTAAAAGCAAAGAAAAACCAATATACAAAAAAGAAATTGTTTCTCAAGATAGAAACGTTACTGTAATTACACAGAGTGGAAAGAAATTCCACAAATCTGACATAAAAAATGTTTAATAAT